ATAAAAAGCAATTTCAAATAATTTTTTAATCTGAGGCATCACAAATTTTTCATTATTGCAAATGGTGTATGACACTTTTATTTACATACATAAACTGCGTCAATTAATATACAAAAATCATACGTGAGATTTAATTATTTCCACGAATTGATATTGATATCATATATTTGTTTTTGGAAACTATATAGATGTATATGCGAATAGATGATGTAAACAAACCTTTTAAAAATGTGAAGACTATGGTTTTAAAAACAAAAAAGAAAATTAATTTAATAATGTGTATATTAAGTTGTACCTGTATCATTTAATAGGAAATATTCTAAGTTTTTCTGCGCGTTAACCGAGTTGATCCTGTATTTACCGACGACAATTTTTTCTCATTCAAAAATTTTCAAACCAAGTAATTTCTACATTGCTTATTATAATTAATTGAATCGAAGTTTTATAATACTTTCGTTTATTTTAATCGAATAATTCTATGTTATTCATCCGAATATATTTTATTATGGATTAGCTTATTGTGAAAACTAGCATTTATTACTTTGAATTTGCAACTATAAAATTTTGAGTCATTCGTTTAAAAATTAATGGTATGATTTATTGACAGTGAAGTAACAAACGTAAGATTATTTTCTTTAGTGTCTATAAAATTAAGTTACATAAGGTGTAAAGATTTAGCTTAATCCTTACAAGCTTCGACACATATTGGGCTTCAATAATATATATATATATATATATATATATTTATGTAACTACAATGCTATTATTACGTTTTATATTATATTTTTATTTAAAATTATCTGTATTATATTGAAATAAAAATAATGTTAAAAGTCAAATCCGCAAAAGTGTAAATAAAGTAGACACAATTTAATCAAATAATTTTTAATTTAGTTAAAAGAGTAAATTATACTATTTGCAAATGCACATGAATTGATAAATTTATTTTTAATAAAATAATTATAACTACTGCGAGTTCCATATTATTTATTTTAATAGTATTACTATTGAATTATAAAATAAATATTTTGTTAATACTGATGCAACGAACTGTCAAGCGTAATGAATTTAAAATTCCATAACTATAAAAAAAAAGAAAAAAAGTTTAAAAACTCGTTACACATTGTGAAGTAATATTTTGTCGTTTTAAGTTTTAAAAATTACGGAATAATTTGCAAAAATTAATAAAATTGTAAATGATAAATTTTTTAACAATAAGTATTATGTCTTATTACGTATATTAAATAGGAAATGAGAAGGATGGATAGCATTTGTTAATAAATGTCAGACGATTTATTAAAGTTTTTAAATTAATTATATTTGGCGCGCGTAATTTATAGTTAAAGATGAGCATTGATCGTGGAAATTATGAAATGTAAATGAAAATCAATCGAAGCGTTGCCTCGCGCGATTCATCATTACGTATCCTATAAACTATCAATGAATCATAAGTGTCGATCAATTTTCGTCGCACGATTATGAAAAATTGAATAAGTCATTGCTAAAACCGTTCCGTTTGGAATATCAGTATATAGTTTTTCATCTCTCATTTATAGATAAGCTTTATTGTCCCCTCCTATTTGACTTTCAATATTGAATAATACTCTAGCTGTTCATACACATAAAATTTCGAATCTTACCGAATTACAATCATATTAATGTGTTTTTCAACATTGAACGTTCAGTAGTGAACGTGAAGAAAGTGACTACAATATACGAGATAAGATATTTAAACCTTCAAAAATGCTGATATTTAAACGGTTGTTTATAATTAATTTCAAACGTATGATTAAAAAATGTCTTAACGTTAATGTGCATAGAGAACAGAACGCTTCAGTGTTACGCGATTAAAATGAATCGCAACTATCGATTTTAGAGATTTTGTAGCACCAGGTGATTGATTTCGTTGGATTCTGTTGATGATATTTTTGCCCCCAATAAAAACATAAAATAAAATATAATCTACTTTTAATTATTAAATAATAACTGTTATCTATTATGATTTTTCCTTTCAATCGATTATTAAATTATTATATTAAACAAATTTTATATAAAAAAAAAAAAAAAAAATTTTTAATGTTTTAAAAATTCAATGAAAAATTGCTTGCATACTCTATTATTAACAAATTTAATATAACGCGCGCTTAATGTTTCTTATGCGACAATATATAAATTATTTATGTGATTGTATATTTTATTATATATGATTAATTTGACTCTAATAATTATATTTAAAATTTTTTACGCACTATACACTACAATGTGCCCGAGGAGTCTTGTTTGACGTGAAAAATGTATTTGGATTATCATTCAAGAATTATTTATTGAAAAACATCGTTTTAATATTAGTTAACATATTAATGTAATTGATGTATTTTCAAATATCTTTGCCTTAACACATTCACATAATAGACAGAACTTTTGTAATTGAAACTATAGAATAAGTTTTGAAACGTTTACGAAAAAATAGTTAATAAATAGTAATATTAAAGTATATATTCAATTTTATAATTTAAAATGCACTAATTTTGCTGTGAGTTGTGTTTATTATTTTTACAACTAATATTATGGGATGCGGGACTTACGATAATAAATGTCATTCGTCAATTTAAAGTTTCTTAAAAATCTTTTATAAAGAATTCTTTTATAATTGCGGGATGATTATTTATACCCTTTAAATTAATACACAGGACTTGGAGATAAAATAATTAAATTGCAAGTGCAGTAGTAAAGCAACAATGTGATAAACAAAAAAATATAAATATTGACCGTGTAAAGAAAAGAATGAAACCAATTTGTTGTTTTCTATTTTTATTATTGCTAATTAATTGTGTTTTTAAATGATTAATTATTATGAGTCTTATTACAATTGAAACGCTTTATAATAATGAATTTATGACATAAAAAAAAAAAATTATAAACTTATTATTGGACTCGTTACAATTTATTTCATTATTGTTCACGCTCATGAGGACTAACATGGAAAAATATATTGCAACGAAGTATTTCAAAGTTAGATAAAAAATTTATCGAATAATTAATGTAATCAAACTTGGCATTAATACTCATAGACGTATAATTAGAAAAATGTACGTTGATCTTAAAGTATTTTTACTTATAAAAAGTAGGTAATGTTTGAGCCACGGCAGCATATATTAATGTGTTTTATTGATTTAATATAGCGACACGGTGGGGGAAGAATTTGTAGTTGTTGTTGCTGTTTACTATCAATACAAAAATGATTAATTGGAAAAATTACGTGCACATTGTTCATTATAATGCGTAACATATCTATCAAGTAGGTAAAAAATGACTTAAAAAATGACAGAAATGATTATTTATTTATTTATTTATTTTTTTTTTTTTTTAACAATGACTTTTTACATGCAGACTCGTACGAATGTACGAAATATATTTATATAAATCGCAAATAATTTAAAGCAACTAACAATTACGAAGAATACTGAACCGACAATAATGAACAATAACCTATTTGGATGGCAAATGCAAGGAATATAAAAATTGTTGTCATCATTACCCCCTTGAAGAGCATGCTGAATTAATTCTCACGATGTCGACTAAATTTTACTTAGACCTACTCGCGATATTTAAACATATTTGTAATTTACATCGTCACATCTTTTTTTATTGTCGACTAAACGTACGATGCATTAATACGAGCGATATTGCGGAAAGGCGCTCAAATATATTACGGGTATGAAAACTTTTAATTGAACAGCATTAACGAAATATTAAAGGCGCCGCTTTGCGAGCGGTAAATCGAATGATGCAACATTGTTTAAAAGTGTAATTATTGCATTTGGCCGATAACGAATGCCATTATTATTATTACGAGGGGCTGAGGTTGTCGATAGTTGGCCATCGAGCTTTGTTACTCTCGTTGGAAAATAAGGACTTTTATATGTAACGAACCATGGAGCTCGGGGTGTCAAGCTCGCATAATCCGTGCCCATTCCATTCGTCGTCCGTCCAGTAGATGGAAACGAACGAGACGAGACTTAAAAAGCTCATGATGAAGAAGATAAAACTGCTACGACGGAAGGGAAGACCCGTTTTCGTTGGTTCAAAAATTGGCGAGTGCTCCGCGATTCATATGGGGGCGGTCGGTTGGTCGGTCCGTCGGACGGTCGGTCGGTCGGTCGGTCGGTCGGTTGGTCGGTCGGTCGGCT